CTTCTTTTTTGAACATTCATAAGAATGATGGCTAATTTCACCAGATAAAAAAAACTTAGTGTTCAAGAAAGTAGTAGCTCTACCTTGTTCTTTATTTCTTACCATTGCAATACTGTCTTCTCTTTTCCAATCTTAGAGCCCTCTCATTTCTTGAAAGAACCCTACCTATTCTTTTCTTCATTTTTGAGCGCCATTTGATAAGCCTTTTCTAGAGAATGAATGGGATCCAACATCAAATCTAACTTTAGATTATACTTCAGCAAACACTTATATCTAGCCATAAACTGATCATCATTTTCATTCTAGCTAATTCGATTCATTAGCTTATAAAATTACTCAGTATAATCAGTCATAGATTGATCATTACGTCGATGTACTGGATGAAACTTTCAGTAAAGTGTTTGAGGATAATTCAGAGGGAGAAACTTTTCATCTAGCTTCAATTTCACCTCAGCACATGTACTCGTTCTTGGAACATCTCTTCTATCTCAACTTTTTTGATAATCCTACGACCAAATTAAATCATCGCTCTTTAATTTTTTCCCATATACTGAACCTTTCTTGCATCAGCAAGATTTTTCCATTCAAAGAAAGCTTCTAAGGAAGCAATCCAATCACAGTACTCATCTGCATTGAGCCTTCCCTTAAAATCTAGTATAGTTACTTGTATGTTTCTATCCATTCCTTCAAGTGCTCATACTAACTAATCTATAACCCAACGATCACTGACTATGAGTTTTGAGTTCATTGTTGAACTAAAAGAATCAGCCTCACTTCTTCTAGCTTCACTTCTAGCACCTCTATCACTTCTTATTAGAGATCTTGAAAATCTTTGATGAAGATCAGCCATATTTTGTTATAGAACCTTATTAGAGCGGTGTAATTCAACCATTTAAGCTCTTAATTTCTCTTTTTCTTCCATGCACCATCTTGCATGTTTTGAAAGTACAAAATGAAAATTATATAGTAACTAATAGCTTGACCTTCACTCAATCAATTATAGATATCTCTCAGAAGAAAATTTAAAATCTAGCATTGTTTATGTTTTTGTCAGAAAGTAGACTAATAGACCTTTCTAGAGGTATATAGCAAGCCTCGTAATGACCTACCAATCAGTATAGTTTAGTAAGAAAAGTCATGCTGAAATCTGACACTACATATGAGGAATATCTTTGTTCCAATGCTCTAATACCAATTTAATGCAGCTTGGGTTTATAAGTCACCAAAAGAAAGGAATATAAAGAGGAAGAAGGGATTAAAATGTTAGGAAGGTAGTGTTAAGATGCCACCCAATCAAGGGTAGCAGAAGTCACTTGATGCAACCAAGCCACTCGATTGATTGGTTTAGGAGGATTCAATTAACTCCAAACAAGGAGGCTTGCTGAATAAAAGATTTTTGTTGAAAATGAAAGTTTGATTCTTTTATTCTAATTTAATGTATAAATAGCCCAAAATATGGCCATTGCACTTCTTAACAATTAAGGTTATAACATGTTTTCAAGATGAGGATTTAAAGGATAATTCCATTTCCTATGAAGCCAACTAGTTTCCAACAAAGTTTTGTTGAAACCACATCAAATAAGACTCCTAGGATAAAAAGAATTGAAGAAATTAAGGCTACAATTATGCTCCTCCATCAATTCTTTAATGCGTTTAATATATATATATATATATATATATTTAAAATGGCTTCATTTAAAGCTCACAAATATTTTTTATTTTAAAAGGGTCATTTTTATTTTAAAAGGGTCATTCCTAGTCCACTTAGCCCAATAGATGCATTTGGCTCAGCAAATCAAACCACATGAGAGGCAAATAGAAAAAAAAAATCTCAAAAAGGCAAAAGTATGGAGAAAAAAGCCCTATTTTAAGACGAAATGTGAGAGATTGTAGATCATGAATTCTTATAGCAATAAGAGCACAATTCAGATATTTAGACGAAATGTGAGAGATTGTAGAGCATGAATAATAGAATAGAGTAAGAAACATGATGCGTTGCAAAAAAATAAAAAATAAAACAAATAAAATAGATGCATTGCAATGCAAGAAAAGAAGAACATAGAGTAATACAAAATACATGTATGAAAGTTGTCCACTTTGGAAGATCATGAAGGAGCAAGTAGCCTATAAATATCAGTTGTAACAAAAGAAGAAAACATACAATAATACAACACATAAGCAAAACCTCAAAAAGCACTTTCACAAGTTTCAACACTTGAAACTTGTTAAGTAGTAGTTAATAGACAATAATTTGTAGGTTTTAGGTTGTAGGTTGTAGATGGTAATCCATAAGTCGTAATCAAATAGGTAGTAATCTATAAGCTAATAGTTGGTTTCTAGTTCTCTACTGGTGCTTGCAACAATCACCATCCCTAATTCCTTTGAGATTTATCATGACTAGAGTGCCAATATATTAATATTCACCATTTTTATTTAATGTAAGTATGTTATTTTCATGATAAAAGCGTCGTAAAGACTGTAAGATTGTATTCTCTTGAGCTTTGATTAAGTCTTTGAACTTGTAATTGCTTGATTTTTGTTCATATTACGGCTCGTATTTCTTAGTATTTAGATCATTTAATATATATATATTTTTAGTTTAGTTTTGTTATTCTACTTGCATATTATAATGAAAAAAAAAAAACTCAATTATTAGTTTAAATCATCTTTTATGTTGAGTTATCGTTCTCTAATCCAACTAGCTTAGGGGGTTGTGAGTCTTTACCAAGGGTTTTCGGACCCATTGCAATTAGTTTAATTTAGTTTGTTTATAATATAAAAACCAAAAACATTATTAGAATTAGTAGTTGTTTATTTTAGAAAGTTGATTTGGTTAATCTACCAACATGATTGGAAAATTGATTGCTTTGCATAATGCTTTCCAATCATCGTTTGTATTTTTTTGTTACAAAATCCTTTTAATTGAGGAAAAAAAAACGCAATAAATATGCAATAATCAAAATGGTTCTATAAAAAATGAAAGGTTGTTCTACCTTAAAACACATGCTTCAACTGAAAATCTAGTTGTTGTTTTTTTTTCCAACAATAAAAATATTCTTAGATCAATTTTACATGTGAAATCAAGACATTTTTTTTAATTAATAACGAACAACCAAATTAATATGTCCAATTGTCAGAATGTTGGAAATTTTATCATGTGCTAATATTGATTGTGGATATATATATTTTTTTCAACGAGTAATGGTATCTTCGAGATCAATTTTTGTATACCTCAAGACTAATCTCTCTTTAGACATGGCTAAAGGGCACTCCCCAATGTATGACCTTGGGTATTCTAAGAATAAATTATCGGGAGTGCTAACTATAAGGATCAAACTTTGGATCTGACCTATAATTAAGTGACGCTTGCTTACCAGTGGATTGCCACCTTACGGTTTGATTGTAGATATTTTAGTTTACAAAATTATGCATTAATATTTTCAAATAAATGCAATAACATTAGCACTCTATTCTTGAATAGTGAACAGCAAACAGAGAAGTCAGTATTGTGGCTAGATTGCACTTGTTCGATCCAAATACTTTTGCTTCAATTGTCTACTGATGATAACCTACCGTGCCTCTAACAATGTCAAACTAATTTCATTTGCTGAATAAGCTTCATTTGCTGAGTGAGCTTCATGCTGATTTGATGAAGTGTTCTGTTCAAGTGGATTCGTCCCCATGAAAAATCCAGGTTGTTTAGGCTGAGGCAATGGATTTTCATTGAATAATATTTGAACAACAGTAGACATGTTTGGCCTATCTTCTGGTCGTTGTTGCACACATAATAAAGCCACATGGACGCATCTTAACGCTTCAGATGTATTGCTCGAGTAAGGTAAATATTCATCAATCAGTTCCAATGGTTTCCCTTTTATCCAAAGTATCCATGCCTAAAAAACATGGCAATAGGTCAGTAGACTGGCCATCCTAATTCGCTTGTTAATTTTCTAACTACTGAAACATTTTCTCAAACTCTAAATAAACCAATGCGTATTTTGTTGAGTAAACTAAATTAATATGCTATGGCATGCTATTTGAATTTTCTGGATAATTTTATATGATTACCTCTAAGTTCATCAATATTATTCATTAAAATTTTCATATAAATGCTTACATGCCCGAGGAGGTTAAGGTTTCTATCTGGGTGACGAAATCCCCTATTTTTCTTTCCACTCACTATCTCCAGGATGAGGACACCAAAGCTAAAGACGTCGGTTTTCACAGAGAAGTGCCCATTCGATGCATACTCAGGAGACATATAGCCACTGAAAAATATTCAAGAATATTTCTCAAAAAAAGGAAATGAAGATCACTGAGGCAAGATTAAGGATGATACTTACTATGTTCCCATTATCCTATGAGTATTAGCCTCCGTTTGATCTCCACTAAACATTCTGGCAAGGCCAAAGTCTGAAATTTTTGGATTGAGCTCATTATCCAGTAAAATGTTGCTAGCTTTGATATCTCTATGGATTATTCTCAGTCTAGAGTCTTGATGGAGATAAAGAAGCCCTCGAGCAATTCCACCAATGATGTTCATACGCTTACCCCAATCAAGTAATTTTCCTCTTGTTTGGTCTGTCAATTTTCTCATCCATGTTAGTCCTATATATACTGGATCAGTTGTAATGGTAAGAGAAAAGTAAAATAAAATATATAAATGATTACGGATGAAAATAAAATACTACTGTTAATTTGGATAGGTTCCCCACCAAAAATAAAAAGGTCCAAACTCTTGTTGGGCAAGAATTCATAGATTAACATTTTTTCATCTTCATGAACGCAACAACCAAGAAGCTTCACGAGATTGCGGTGCTGAAGTTTAGCAATTAATATAACTTCATTTTTGAACTCATCCCATCCTTGACCAGAACTTTTTGATAGCCTTTTCACTGCTATTTCTTGACCTTCTACCAACATGCCCTACTCACCATTCAAACAATTCAGTTAGTTTTATGTAGAAGATGGTTTCAATAGACAGGTAACTATTTTGTTACCTTGTATACAGCTCCGAAGCCTCCTTCTCCCAACTTGTTATTGCTCGAAAAGTTATCAGTGGCATGTGCTATGGTACTCAAATCAAATATTGGTAATTCCATGTCTTCTTTCCTTACTTCTTCAAAATTTTTGTGCTTCCCATGATTCCTCCTCCGTATGCAAGATAACATTCCTAACATTAGCATCGCAATGCCCAATACAGCAGAGCTGGCAATTATTGCTCCTTTCTTCTTCTTATTGAAGTTCCCTTTTTCACATTTACAACTGAATACAAAGAAAAATAAATAAATTAGAAGTCACATGCGTCTTTTGTGTTGTCGCAGAATAAGCTACACAATCTTGTCTTGTGTTTAACCATATAACAATTCATGCAATAATGGTAATCAGACTAAATCAATATAAAAAAATTATTAAAACCTTTAAATAAATTTACTTTATAGTAATGAAAAATAAATGATCTAAGATTGATTTTTTATCAGACAATAACAAAAAGAGAATATACAAAGTGATGACTGCAATAAAAAGTATATATTGCGTGCAACAAATAGTTATTTAAAAAGATTGTGCAAAAAAAAAAAAAAAAAAAAAAACAAATGCCTGCAATGTTTAGGAATGTAATGTTACTAGTTAAAAATTGTTTGATACAAATCACTTATTTTTATTAGAAACATGTATAACAACTGACAATTATAATAATAATGTGGTAGCTTCTTGAATCTTAAATGATCATATATAGTTTTTGCTATTTGTTTTTTTATTTATAGTTTGTTTGTTTTATATGATCAAACTTGTTAGACATCGTTGGGTAAGGGAAAAAAAAATATTATGTCGATGTAAGCAAATGGACCTAAAAAGTTTTGTTTTAGCTTGACGCAAAAAAAAAAAAAAAAAAAAAAATAAATAAATAAATAAATAAATAAATAAATAAATAAATAAAAATAATAGAGATTTTATATACCTATAAGATGATAAAAATTTAATGACTAAAATAAAATAAAGATCATAGAATACAAACCCAAATAGAAAATTTCTTTCACCGAAAGCCAAAAAAAAAAATCATATATAGGAATAGTAAACAAAAAAAACGAATTATGTATTAGGTAAGAACAAAAATACATAAAACATGGTGTCAACAATCAAAACAAAGTAAGAATCAAATAATAGAGATCAAAATAAGAAGAAACCTTTAGCTAAATGCTAAAAAAGAGGCTTAGGAACAATAAAATTTTAGAAATTACATTATCTTCATCTAAAAATAAAAATATTTAATTTAGCCATGATTTTTTAGGTCTTTGGTTTTGTTATTCTTCCATATTCATATTTGATATCGAAACTTAGAAAATCTTTTTACTTACGTCTTAAATATAACTAATTTATTCTAAAAAAATCATATTATTTATTCGGAGGACATAATTAAAAAATTTATTTAAATAAATACACATGCTAATTTACTCCAATAATGTATTAAAATAAAATCAAAGGGTCTATTTTTAATAATTCAATAAAACATTTTGAGGAAAATTAAAATACAACAATAAGAATTAGCACAATAAGAATAATTTTAGACTTTTTAAATGATCAAATTAAAAGTATAATATAAAGATCAAAACGAAAAAATAAAAAAGAACTTTACAAAGCACGCAGGGACAAAAATCACATGAGCAAAACTTCAATAATCAAAATAAAAGTAATATCACATAATAGAGACCAAAATGAAAAAAAAAATGATAAAAATCTGAAAAAGTAACATAGCTATGGTGAAACTATATTTAGCTTTAGATTATTTACTAGCATGCATCATATACATATGTTGCTGTGGGACTAGTTAGATAGCCTTCTCATTTGTTCAACCATATAAAATAGAGAATTCTAAGAATCCATATAATGATAGTAATAAGAAGAAAGAATTATTTCAAAACTTTTAGATAAATCTACTTTATTGGAATGAAAAATAAAAGATCTCATATTGAAATTTTATCGGAATACATATATATAGATACACACATACAACATACATACACACAAAATGATGACTGTAATAAAAAATATTTTGAGCAAAAGACTAAAAAGGAAAAAAATAATAATGAAAAGCCTACGAAAAAAAACAATGAAAAGCCTACGATTTTGAGCAATATAATGTTGCTTGATTCAATAAGATATTTTATTAGAAATATGAATAATAAGTGACAATTAAAATAATAATGTGACGAACTTTTTAAATTTTATGATCATAGGTAGTTTCAATTATCTACTTTTTATTTATAATTTTTTATCTTGATATGATCAAACTTATTAAATAATGTTGGGTAAAAGAAAAGAAATATAATATGTCGATATAAGCAAATGGATTTAAAAACTTCGTTTTACCTTGATGCAACATAAAATTATAGAGATTTTACATACAAGCAAAATAACAAAATTTTAGTGACAAACAAAGTAATAATCACATATGACGAGACCAAAATGAAAAGAAAATTTTCACCGAAAGCTAAAAAAAACATAGTGACAAGTAGAACTAAAAAATTCATTATGCATGAAAAAAGGGTAAAATCACACATAATAAAATTTTAATGATCAAAATAAAATAAGAATCACATAGCAAGGGCTTAGAAACAATAAAAATTTAGAGATTATATTATCTCCATATAAAATAAAAATTTTAATTTAATTTTTTTTAGGTCTTTTATTTTGTTATTCTTTCATATTCATATTTGATATCAAAACTTTATAAAAAAATTTCACTTACACTCCTAAATATAACTAATTTCTCTAAAAAAAAAATTAGTTATTTATTCAGAATAAGAAAAAAATTATTTACATAAATAGACATGCTAATTTATTCCAATAATGTATTAAAATCAAATCAAAAACCTATTTTCAATATTCAATAAAATATTTTAAAATATAAAAACAAAAATAAGATCAATAAAAATAATTAAATTTTGAAGGATGAAAATAAAAGTATAATCTCCAGATCAAAAGGAATTTTTTTTTTGTTTTGTTTTGCAGCATGTAGGGTTAAAAATCGCACTACCAAAACTCTAGTTACTAAAATAGAGGTTAAATCACAAAATAAGGACCAAAACAAATAAAAAATCAACAAAAAGCCAAAAAAAGAACTCAACAGTTAGCACAGTCCAAGACTTGGTTCTTAAGTAAACTTGAATTGAATCTTGCTATTTTTTATTTAGTTTTGATAGAAAGGAAAGAAAAAAATGAAGCAGATATTTATATTAAGACGAGGGAAAATGGTGTTGAAGGAGTGGAGAAAGCAGCAGGCAAGACTTCTAGTTTCTACGCTGTCTCCTTTCCAGGCACTTTGAAGCCAAGACAGAGAAATGGTTCTTCAATTTTTATCCATGCTGGTGATCTACCCTCAGAATTAAATTACTTATTGAATTAAGACATACCTAAATCTGAAGCAGCCATCCTAACATAGAGTTCTTGTCCATCCCCAATTGACCTTCTCATATCAATCAGGGCTCCAAACCAAATCAGGCAGCCACTTCCGCTTCCCCTGATATCTAAATTTGCATAAGCAGAACAAGAGCAGTTCTTCAAACATATTCTCTCACATTCCTTCAGATCGATGCTCTTGTCAAACCAGGAAGAAGATGTGTCCGGTAGTTTATTCCCTTCATACTTCAAAAAGCCATCTTTATCATTGCAATCCAGTGGAGTCCTCCGGATACACCCACCTGACCAATCTGAAAAGTTCCAGTCTACAGGAAACTTAGGTCTGAATCCATCAAGGCATCCACATATTGGAGATCTGCTCATCTCACACCGAGTATTTGGACCACAGAACGCGTAATTTTCACACTGATCGAACTGGCCATTTTCGATAATCACCCAATCCTGAGTTCGGTCATTCCATGTGAAGCTCCGAGGAAGACCCAACGAGCTTAGTGTAAGCCTTGAAAGAGCTGAACTTTGGATCCCATATTCGTAATAAACCTCTTTTCTGTTCAACACAAATTCATTTGTCAAAACTGGATTAGGTCTCGGTCTCGGAATTCCTGTAAATTTTATGCCATCCCATGACCCCGGTCTTAGCAACGTTGTATTCTCTCTCTTCAAAAGTAGCTGCGGGTAGCCGTGAGGATCTATACGAAAAGTAAATTCACCTGGAGCAGGATCTTCTGAGCTCTTCCAAGATGACAAAAACCTGTCCACCCGTGTCAAAAAGTTGATTCCCAATCTCATTCCAGGTAGTAAGGTATCACAAGGATGATCAAAACTCTGCCACAGATAGTTTGCAGGGTTATAATCATTTCCTTCCCTGACAACAAAATTTCCTGACCCCAAGAGCTGTGCAACTGGAATCTGTATATTTCTTGATGCACTTGAATTTGATGACCAAACAGCATGGTTTGTGCTATTGAGAAGAATGAGAATCCCTTGGTTGGTGATATTCAGAGCTCCCAAATGATCAAAAAGTGAATTTTCTCTGTTGGCTACCCATAAAACTGTCAGAGGAGACTTCTTGTGCCATAATCCCAAGTACCTGCTTGTTGAACCTTGAGGGCTGAAAAATCCAAGTTCAAAGCTTCCAGGTGCAGAAACCAGAGTCTCACCATCTCTCAGGGATTGGCCAGGGTTGATGATTTCTAATGCGGTGGACGTGGTTAAAATGGAGATCAAGAAAGAGCACACAAAGAACGCTGCAATGCTTCCCATTTTTTGAATATGTTTATCGACAATATGTTGCGATGTTTTGACGTTATGAATGAAAAATTCAAGAAGCCTTGCTAATTTCTCATATTGTATACTTTTCACAGGTTTAATGGGAGGGACTATGGCATGGCTCGAGGGAACACCCGGGACTATGGGCAACACAATGGGTGGTGGTGGTGGATTTATTCTTCTTTCGCCAAAACTTTCCTCAATTATTGGGGTGACTTGTGACAAAACCGTCGATAGTGTAAATGAAAAATTGCCGTCTAGGAAGGGAAATTGAGTTGATACCAAAATTCCAGGGAAAAAACCAGTTTAGATTAAATGAAAGGTTAATTGATCATGATAAGGCAATGCTTTTAAAAGCCACCGGTCATTTAATTTTTGTGTGCCAAGTGTCCTTCCTATTTTTGTTCTTTTAATAAAATTTTGGATTGATGATCTAAAAGAACAAAATAATTCTGATGAATTCAGATGACATATGTCAATTTATAAATAAAAGAAATAAATTCATTAAATTTATCAAACTAACTTCTCATTGATGTATTCTTTGATCGAGATTCAATTCAA